CACAGGGAATGCTGCAGGCTCAGCTGCTTCCCTTCCCCTGCTCCCGAGAACTAAAAGAAACCAAATTCCCAGCTGGCTCTATCCCCTCCCTGGCAGATATTTAAAAACAGGGAGGCGGGTGAGGGGGTGGCCGGTGGCAGGGAGTGCCACTCCTCGGGGACCCACATGCTCTCAGGGGAACACGCATGTCCCGCAGGGCCGGGCCCAGGGTTCCTTTCTCCTTCCATTTTGGGGCAGAACGACCTCGTATTGCAGGGAGAAGCACACTACATGTGTCAAATACACCCCGATCCCGACAGCGCACTGCTCTTCCCAAGCACGAGGGCTCCTGCTTGGAGGCTCCAGGTGGATGTTCATGGGAAGAGGGCAGGAAGGGCTCCTGGGGTGAACATCTCCTCCTCCTGGCTCTGCTTCCAGGCTGAGGCCATGTTTGAACAAATGCTTCTTTACTAGTCAAGCGGGAAGGCACGCATGGAGGAGGAGCCTCTCGCAGTGCACCGAGCTAAAGCAGTGATTTACGACCTCTTTCGATCTGTACGTGCCAAATTTTTCCCCAGCTGGCCCACCTGCATGCGCCGTTCCACCCAGTGTCCCCCTCCCCATTTATTTCTGGCTTGCTCGGCACCTGCACAGCTACAGAACAAACATGTCCCCTGAGCAAGGCAGCAAAAACCTCGTTAGGGAACACCGGGTCCCTTCGTTCCTCTTGCTCCGCGTCCCAGAGCGGCAAGGGGAGGGAAGCAGCTGCTGGATGAGGCTCGGGGCGATGGAGAGCTGGCACCGGAGAGCTGGAGCGTGGCTCCGGCCGCAGCTCCAGCAGCTGCTGTCGTGGTTACCAGCTCTCCCCAATGGTGCGTTGCCTTCACCCTCTGTGGAGTTGTTTTTTCAGAGCATTTTGCCACCTGTAGCTCTTGATGCCTTTTCACTGACTGCGGCAGAGCTGGGTCAGCGCTCCTCATCCCATCCCCACGCTTCAAATTCAGGGCTAAACGCAGGGGAACAGGCTCAGAAACTGCTCAGCGAAAGCTTCATGTGGCTCTGCTTTGCTCTGCCAGTCTTGGGGGCACCCACAGGAAACAAAGACCCTCCTCACTCCCAAATTTCGGATGTTTTTCACCTTCCAGGGCAACCTGTGCTCAGGCAGTTTAATTTTTTGCCCTCGAGCTCTGGTTTGCTCCCTGTGTCTGTGCGTTAGGGACGTGCCACGTAGGGCTGAGGGTTGAGCTGAGCTTACCTGGGCAGCTGAAGTTTGGACTCGTCCCACCTCGGAGAGCCTTGCAGCTAGCAGAGTGCATCACTGATGTTATTTTTGGCTGCAGTTTCCTAGGGATTTTTTTTTGTTTAAGCAAATAAAAACAAAACAAAAAAATCTCTTCACTATGTGACAGCTTGACCTGCAGTGCATTCCCCTACAGAACGGGACCCTACACTGCCCCGGAGCCGGCCAGGGACCCCAGCGGGGCCAGCGTGTCCCCCTACCTGGAGCTCAGCGCGGGCAGGGGCGAGGGCGTTCTGCCACGGTGTTTCACCGATCCGGGCTGACTGCTGGGGTGAGCCAGGACCGAGGGAGCTCGGTTTCGCAGCCACTCCGGAGGCCGTGTCTGGCAGAGCTCACATCCCCACAACCGTGTGCCTTTCCCCATCGCGTCCCTCCTGCCCCAGCTCCTCATCCCAGCTCCACAGCAGCTTTCCCATCCTTCACCCCCTGCCACGGGCTCAGCAGATCCCAGACCTCACCCTGGCAGATGCTGGTCCAGCCTGGGTTCCTCAGACCCCATCCCAATTGCCCGGACTGCTCTCCCCAGCCCTGAGCAGCATCGCTGGGTTTCTCCAGCAGCCTCGGTACCTCCTCATCTCAGCTTGTTGCCCGGGACGGTGCTAGTTTCCCCCTTCCCCCCTTTCCCACCACTCTCGTTCTTCCCTGCAAGCCCCCACATCTCGCCTAGCCTGTCCTCCATGCCCCTGGGATGCTGCCTCGGGGGAAAACAGTAGATCGGAAG